CAAATATCATCTACCTAGATTTAATATAAAGTTTTATATATTATATGAAAATATATATTATACTTGTAATTATGGAGTCATTTTTACAATGTAATTATTTATGTATGGTGCAATGTGTATATGGACAAAAAACAAAAAATGCACTTTGGCTTATATAATTCTTTCAATACAGATTTTTTTTTTTTTTTTAAAAAAAAAAAAAAAAAAGAGAGAAAAATTATACAGCAAAAAATAGGAGAAAGCCCTAATTTTTGATGTATGGTTTTTTTAAAATATTATTAATACCCAGACAAAAAGCTAATACCAGTCACTCATTGATAATAAAGTATTCGCATTATGGGGGGGGATTTAATTGTCTTTTTTCTCCCCCCCCCTCCAGCTGAAGGCTAACAGTGTCTGCTGGGGTGCTCTGCAGTCAGGGGGGTTCCAGAGGGGTGCCCTCTGTCTCCCATCCCAGCCAGGACCCCAGAAAGCCAATAAATAAGTTGGGAGGCTGCAGTTGGCTCCAAGAGGAGGGTGAGTGAGGACAGCTGGAGAGCCAGGGAACACTTGGAGAAGGGGAAAGGAAAGTCTCCTGTAGCTTTTGGCACTCAGGGTGGTGTCTCTGATAACACAAAACGTGGTGAGGGTGTTCACGATCACCTGTTCATGATGAAGTTAGGGCAGGTTAATGCTCCTCCATGCAAAGAGAAAAGCAGAAGTTATTGTGGCCCTCAAAGCTGCCCAGTAGGAGCAGTTTGGAACATCAGCCTTTCACAGGGCTTGTGTGCAAGTCCAGCACCTCCCCAGACGTGTGTCATGGCTGAGACACAAACGGGGGGTCTGGACAACTCCTGCTTGGGGGGGATCCTCTGTTGGAGTGTGGTCTGAATTTCAGGAGCCTCTGCAGTAACTCAGAGGAGGGGATTGGATGAGCTGTGTGCAGATTTTTTTGTCCCACAGATGTCCCAGTCTGTCGTCCAGGCAATAAACCGATTCAGAATTGTTTGGGAAGAATGTATTTGCTCCGAGGAGCACTTGCAGCCAAAAAAGTGTCCTGGGCGAATGTGCTTGTCTGGGCTGATTTACACTCTGGAAATCCTGGATAAAAATCAGGCCCTTTGCTGACTTGTGCCTGAACTCCATCCCTGTCAGCACAGGGCACCCACGTGCTGCCAGGGGCAGGTTGGACACTGGCTTGGCTTGGTTAGGGAAGTTATTTATTGCCAGGGAGCAGCGCTGCCAAGTCTTGGACCCGTGTTCCAAATCCCTGTACCTTTGATTCCCGTGAAGTCCCAGCCTCTGGAGTGCAGTGACTGGGAAGCACCTCAGCTTTCAAGGTTGCAGGGGGGTGTTTTTGTCACCTTCGTGTTTGCAGAGGAAAACGTGCAGTGAGAGCTCCTCAAACTCGGAGTAAAACAAGACCCAAACTTAGTACTCAAAAGCCCTCCTGAGTCCTTAAAGCTCACCTCATTCCACTGAGACACTTTCTACTATCCCAAATTGCTCCAAGCCCCGTCCAGCCTGGCCTTGGACACTTCCAGGGGTGGGGAAAGGTGGGCACTGCGTCCCACGGGGAACCTCACAGACCTGGGTGGGTGTTGGGAGAGACCCGAGCGGAGCAATGTCCCAGTGACATTTCCTCAGTCGTTTTTTCAAATTATAACCATATTTGATGTTTAATTGGGACCACATTGGTGGAGTTTCCTGCAGCATCACTGTTTATACTTGACATCATGGATTTTTGTTTGTGTTACAGCCATTCTTAGGGAACGGTGTCAAAACACGTCACTCTGGTTTTAAAGCAGCTTTCAAGAGCTTTGCAGGGATTTTTTTTTCATCCCTTTTGGCTTGGGTTTGGTGGGTCCTGCCATACCACCCCCCTCCCTTGTGGTATCACTTTCTCGTGGTCAGTCAAGAGGCCATTTTTATATTTTGGGGTGTTTTTTAGGAGATTTTTGTTAATACTCCCCTCATTTTACCTGGGAAGAATCAGCCAAAAGCTGACTTGCCTCTCCCCGTTTCCTTTGCTTCTTCCCAGCACTTCCCAGCACCTCCCAAAAGGTTTTGCATTCACATCCCAAGCTGGCTGCTGCCTTCCTCCCTGTCCTCCTCTTCCTCTCGTGCACACAGCGATGCAGCAGCACCATCATTACCCACTTCATCCATCTTCTGGACAAAACAGCACCAAGGCTGCATTTGAGGGTTAACTTTGGGCTTCCCCTTGTGCAATCCCCTGATGGTGCTTCATTGTTCATTACTCATGTGCTTCCCCAGGAACAAATCTGGAGTTTTATTTTGACAGCAAGGCTTTAAAGGGAATAAAAAAGGATTTTAGGGTGAGGCAATGAAATAAGTATCCTTTTCTGTCCCATTTCCCCCCTTTAATCTTACAATCATTCAAATTTAGGATTCTTTAGAGAAGATTTAGGACTTCGGAGCTCTTGAACTCCACGCTGGACGATCTCAAGCTCAGCTGGGTTTGACCTGAGGGGTGTGAGTTGACACTTTGGAGCAACCCTTGGGGTGGCTGTGGGTTGAGGGCACTTCCATCAGGGAAAGATCGGTTATTTCCCTGCCAGGGTTTGCAGGAGCAGCTGGACATGGTTGGAGTTTATTAACAAGCTGATGGGTTTCTCCTGTGCCCACACACAGCTGTTGGTGTTTGCCCATCAGCCCCAGCCCCTATAAAAGCAGGGTGGCCACAGCCCCTCTCCTTTTTCTCAGCAGCCTCCTGGGGTTTTCTGGGTGTGTTTTCTCCTCCTTCCTGAAGGAATCGTGGTCTCCTGGCACCTGAGGTAAGTGGCACGTTTTCTATTCTTATTCCTTCAAGGTCTGTGTGGTATTTTGTCGTCGTAAGGGTAGAAGTCCAAGCAGCCCCTTGGCGGGAGGTGCTCAGGCTGAGCTCCTGGTGCTGCTGTGGGTGCCTCAGTGCTGATGTACTGCAGGGTTTGTGTGTCCCTTTGGAGCTGGAGCTGGTTCAGTCCTGTCCTGACAAGGCTGTTGGATCACCTGAGTGGTTACACATCACTGGGGGCTCTTTTTTTGTTGTTTTTGGAGGGATGTTTGGGGCAGTGCAGCTGGGAAGTGTTTTAGTTTTGTGCCGTGGTGCTGCTCCAGGGGTCAGACTGAGCTTCCCCAGCCCTCGGGTTTCCTTGCCAGTGAGCAGCAAGACCTTGGTCCTGCAAGCAGAGCCCGAGACGAATGGTCTGGCTGCTCTGGCTGCTTTGTGGACCATCTGTGGAGGTGGGTGGGACATGGGGGTGTTCTGAGGTGTTGCTTAAGCAGTGGAACTCGCTGGACACCTTTTTCTGTGGGTGTCAAGGCGGTGGCAGAGGCATCAGCTGGTTTCTTGTGGTGTTACTGGTGCAACCAGGAGGCTGCACAATCTGTGTCTGCCTCCCCTGTGCCAAATACACCCAAAGTCTACTCCAGTAAAAGTCCTGAATTAGTAATTCCAGTATTGGACCTGAGTCCTTATGGCTTTGATGTGTGCAGTGTGTTTATTTGACAAGACCCTTTCAATTTAGGAATGCTGGATTTTAAAACTGCAATAGGCTGATGAGGAGCAGCCAGTTACTGCTGGTGGGTCCCAGAGGCTGCTGCTCCTCCTGTGAGAAGACATTCATCATCCCTGTCCCTGGTGTTCATTGCTGCTGTGATTGAGAAATGCCTTTTACTGGCCAGAATGGAAAAGAAATTAATGCTCAAAGGATCCACACTCAGCTCTTCTTAAAAAAAAAAAAAAAAAAAAGAGGCTGAGATGCCTTTGTGGCACAGGTTTAGCCACAGTTTTACAGGGGCTGTCAGTCTTCAGACCTTAATCCTTCTTCTCAGGGTTTTATCTCTGCTATAAAAATGGGGGGGGGGGTTTGTTCAATGCATAATTAAAAGCTGAATATTGTCTCAAATGTGTGGGTTAACAGGGAAAAATAAAAAAAAAAAAATCACT